AAGGAGAGAGAGAGAGAGAGAGAGAGAGAGAGAGAGAGAGAGAGAATGTGTATTATAGCATGTGTGTGTTGGCGTGTGTTGTTGGTGTAATTTTAGTCTTCCTCTAAACAAGGACTCACATGGGGGAATCTTTGCTAAAAACAAATGACGTCTCATAGACTACATCATTGTAAGACAGGATGTGCAAGTGACGTCTCATAGACTACATCATTGTTAGACAGGATGTACAAGTGACATCTCATAGACTACATCACTGTAAGACAGGATGTACAAGTGACAAAGTCCAAGTGTGGCCCTGAATGTGGAGCTGACCACAGGCTCATTGCGAGCAAACTCAACTTAGTCTTGGGGCGTTAGACCTTAGTCTGCAATGGACGAATTATTATTATTATTATTATTATTATTATTGTTATTATCATTATTATCATTATTATTTAATTATTATTTTTATTCATTCATCTGTTTATTTATTCATTCATTTTATTATTATGCAAGCGATACTTGATTTATGTTTGTGTACAGTGGCGTCTTTAAAAAAAATTGAAAATGAATTCACCTAATAATCGTTTTAAAGCCGTGCGCTACCCACCCTTGCAGCATACCAATTTAAAGCTTAATAACAAACTCTGCATCATTCGGCACATTGATATAACATCTATGATATGAGTCGCCCGAGATACGCTCACACAAAAATTACCTTAAAAAATCAAATTTGGCAGAACTGTGAGACATCAAAGAAAATGAAAATTAAGTACTGTAGCATAATAATATCGGACTTTCATCTTTATTACATACCCATTTTGTGCCAACATTGTTCGAGTATCATGAAAACATTTGTTCTAATTGGGTGAATCAAATTTTGAGCTATCCTGCATAATCCACCGTACAACTTCTGAAATATTTTCCACTGGTGATGTTAACTCAGGGTATGGATGATACAGTGAATCACACAGGTTTGATTAGAACATATTTACCGCCACTGATGTGCACAGAACAAATGGACGTCTGACCAGACACTGATAGGGTCACTCTGTCTATGGTGAGGGTGGGATTCTGACATCGGATGTCCACGACGTTTTCACTGACCGTTGATTTCAAGACATCGGAGCACGGGACTGTCTGGCTGTCTTTCTTAAACTCCACAGACACATGGTGAACTGTTGGAAGATTAAGAAAACGTCATCTTTTTGACTGAAGTGATTTGAAAATGAGAGACAGAGTGTGGACTGTTTTGATGTGTGTGTGTGTGTGTGTGTGTGTGTGTGTGTGTGTGTGTGTGTGTGTATGTGTGTGTGTGTCTGTGTGTGTGTCTGTGTATGTGTAAGTGCGTGTCTCTCTGTGTATGAGTGTGTGCTTGCGTTTATGTACCCTGTGTATGTGTGTATGTGTTTGTGTAAGTGTGTGTATGTGTGTGTCTGTGTATGTGTCTTTATTCGTGTGTGCGTGTGTGTGCATGTTTATATGTGTGTATGTAGGTACATGGGTGTGTTTATGTGTGTATATGAGTATGTATGTGTGTATGTGTATGAATTTGCATGTACATGTGTATATGTGAGTATATGTGTATATGTATGTGTGTATATATGTTTATGTGTGTTCATGTATGTGTGTATGTGTATGTATGTGTATATTTGTATGTGTGTGTATGTATGTAAGTGTGTATGTAAGTGTGTGTGTATGTTTGTATGTGGTATGTGTCAGTGTGTATGTGCGTGCACGTTTATGTATGTGTGTGTGTGTTTGTGTGTGTATGTGTTTGTATGTGTGTGTATGTGTGTATGTGTGTATATGTATGTATTTGTGTGTCGGTGTTTGTGTGTGTATGTGTGTATGCGTGTGTATGTGTGTGTGTTGTATGCCCGTGGGTGCAGTAGTCGAGACACCGAAGGGTAAAGAGAAGGAGAGCGATAGAGAGAGTGAGAAAGCGGCAAGGAGAGAGAAAGGGAGAGAAAAAAAGGGAAAGAGAGAGAAACAGTGTGTATGTGTGAGAGAGAGAGAGAGATAAGGAGAAAGAAAAAAGGAGAGAGAGAGAGAGAGAGAGAGAGAGAGAGAGAGAGAGAGAGAGACAGGGCGTTTTTGTTTTAGTAGAGGTTTTACGGCGCTCGCAACTGCATAAGGTCATATGACAGGGAGTTAGGGGTGAACGTTTGTCATATGACAGGGAGTAAGGGGTGAACGTTTGTCATATGACAGG